TCGTGACAGTGCAGAATGTGAGCTTGACACGTTAACCATTTGGCCGCATTGCCACAAGTGCCGTTGGGTTACAGGGCAGATGTGAATTTCAAGGAAGGCCAGACCTTTTCCCATATCACATTCTTTGGTGTGAATACACCGCATATTACTGATTTGCTGGTAGTCTCGAAACACTACTTACATTCAAAAAATAAGTAACATAGTAGGTTGTTATAGCCATACTACGTTTGCTTCATCGGCACTCCCACCAAAAGAATGTGATATGGGAAAAGACCTGGCCTTCCTTGAAATTCACATCTGCTCTGTGACCCAACGGCACTCGTAGCAGTGTGGCTGAGTGGTTGATGTGTCACGGTTCGACTCCCGCTGGGGGTGTTGATAAGACCGAGGCGAGGTCGAAACTGCAGTCAACTGGTGCCTGGATGATAACACATTTTGAGAAAGCAAGGCTATGTGAAATTCAACGGAAACGTCAGCTCTACTCATATGATTGTGGGAAAATTCGACTACCAGTCCTTCATCAGCTTAAGCGAAATAGGGTGAATATATCTCATATAACTGATTTACTGGTAGTCTCGAAACTATACTTACACACGAAAAATATATGTTTGCTTCATCGACACTCCCACCATACATGTGACTTGGAACAGGCCTAGCATGCCTTGAGTATGATCATCACTCTGTGACCATATAGTACCCGTGGCTGTTTATGTATGTGCAGTGGTAACGTGTTTCCACGTGGCTCGCTACTCGGTTTCTGGCTCCACTGAAGGTTCCTATTGACGCGAACTGGTTGAGGTCGAAATTGCAGTTCAGCCCCGATGGACGAATTAATCATTCTAAATTGCATGAAGTGATTAAGGTCTGATAGATGAATTTTTCCATAATAGCATTGGTAGGCCTTAAGATAACATTAAATTTCACTTAGTCTTGCTCAACATACGGCCTTCTTATCCAAGCTAAACTAAACGGTAATTTAGGCAGGATAAAATACCATTTTTGTAGGTAAAGCTATGTGAACTTCTTCAAAAATGTGTAGTCTATCAAAATGATTATGGGAACATTCAACTATCAGTCTTTCGTCATCTGATATTCGCGAACTACTAATTTCTCCGAATATAGTATATAAATAAATTGTAATCGGAAAATACACGTTTTCGATATAAGAAGTTTTGAAGGCTATCAATTATTCATCCTAAGTCGTTTAAGGTTATTTAAAGATTAATGCTTGAGTTTTGCTGCAATTTAATTCAATTGCATCACGAGGCCTATTCATATGATTGTGGGAAAACTCAGCTATCCGTCCTCAAATTACCCTAGAAACCATTGAGTGACTATGTTTGCATTAGAAAATGCGTAAAAACCGCGACAGTGGGAATACAGATTATGTAACGACTCACGACGAATAGTGAATGCTCCTCTCCTGTCACAAAGTGGTTTTTGTCGCAAGCCTCGTCGACCAGAGAGACTAGCAGAGCAGCTTCATCAGCCATCAAAACCAGCGTTTTGCAACTCTCCTCTACCCACACCTCGGCGTCTCCACCCAAAATGGAAGGTTCCACCTTTGACAGATCGGAAGTGGGAGTGAGTCTCCCAATGTGGTCGACTTTCGTGAGACCATCAAGAATGCTTGCAACGGAGGGCAATTTGAATTTAGATGTTGCAGGTTTAGAGATGAGGAAATAGGCAATCATCTCGGCGGGTGGATGTCTTAGAAATCGGACCAATATTGGCTGCAGGCGGTCCCAAAACATGCGTGACCAATCATGGTCTAGGAATCAGAGAAGAAGAAGAAGAAAAAGATTAAAGTAACTCACGATGTGAACAGTTTACAAAAAACATTTTACAAATTAACTTGAGATAATGAGGAAGATTCATTCTCGAATAAAAATTTGCAAACGTCATTTTTAGGATTTAGAGTGGAGTTTTTTCCACCATGTTACAAGGAAGCCCAGATATTCCTGCAAAAGAGTTTACTAATCCTGCCTGGAGTTCAGATTCGACCTGGCTCGAGCGATACCTGGATGACTACTTTGCAGCTTGATCGCATGGTATGAAAGATTTGAATGAATTCGTCAACTTTATAGACCAACTTGATGGAAGAATTAAATTCCTAAAACAGGTGGAGGATGAACGTCTACCATTGCTGAAGGTTGGGGTCATTCACTCCAACGGAATACTAAAGAAGAGAACATTCAGAAAGAAATCACATGCAGGAATAATCCTCAATTTTCACTCTCCACACAACTACAGACTGAAGATCGGAATAATGAAGAGTTTGATAATCGAAAGCTTAAGACTAACCGGCATGGAGTTCTGAGACGAAGAAATGAACAAATTGCCTCGGACTTTCTTTAGAATTCATATAGAGAAATATAGGGGGCATAAATAGCAGATCTTAACTTGGATTTCAGGAAAATAAGATCAGGAAACAAGAGGACGACCAAATTTGATATGCCTACTATCCTGTGGCCTAAGTCAAGAATTGCAAACGACAAAAAGAAAATGGAATATTAAGGTGATAGCAAAGGAGAAGACAATACTCTTCTTAATCCAACCGACGCAACAGGAGATTGTTGAAAAGCAGGATTGCTCGGGAGATTATCACATAAAATGTTGCAACTGTGGTCAGAAGTATATCTGTGAAGCAGAAGGAAAAATCAGCCCACAAATCAAGGCCCACCAAAGACTCTGCAAAAGCATGGATATGGAAATATCAGGAAATTGACTAGAAATCCATAGAAAAACTGGCTGTATATGGTGAAAATACAAAAAAAACCTTGATTTTAGAAGCCATTGATATTCTGACTAAAAGAAAGCTTTCGTATTTAAGTAGAGTTGCGAGACTACCGGCAAATCAGTAATATGAGATGTATTCCACCTATTTCGTTTACTGTAAATCACATCATTGTGGGAAAATTCTAATACCAGTCCTTCATCACCTTAGACGAAATAGGGTGAATACAACTCATATTAAAATAAATCCGTTATATTTCGTTTGAGGTGATTAAGGACTGGTTGTTGAATTTTCTCCAAATGTCTCGAAACACTGCCCATAAACGAAAAATAAAAGAAATCGAATGGATTGGACACTTGAAGAAGGCAAAATTAGCGAAAACAATGCGCGTCGCTTAAACAGACCCGGAGAGGAACAGGCAACAGTAAGATCAGCAAAAAGAGGACGACTAGATAAAAAAAAACTTTTTAAAATGAGGAAGAGCGACCGAAAGGAGGCCACAGAAGAACAATTAGAAATCAAGAGGAGCCTATGCACAGCAAGTAGGACCACAATATTTGGGGGGTGGCTCACCAGAAACTAAGGCATATAAAGTTATAGACTTGGTGTTATGGCTATGAGCGCGAGAGTTTCGGCAGATACCAGAGCTTGTTGGCTAAAAGTAAACCTGTTTGTTTATAGACGTGGTACGTGAAGTAAAGGTTTGACCATGAGAATTACCCGATGCACATCTCGAATGGTGAGGAGGGAACCTACAGCGTCAAGTTAATTTACCATAAAACTTGAGAATTCAGACTTTGGGGGCTTGCTCAATGGGACTGTGGGATACGTGATATCAAAGGTTGCAACAAATATAATAATCCGTTAAATTGCTTCGGTTTTTTGTAAGAAATGGTTACTTGCTCTGACGATGTCTGTAATATTAACACGGATTCCTCTAAGCCGTAGGATTGTGTGCCCAATCCGAAAGTCTTCACGATTTCCTTTTTCCGGAAAGGCCAACTCATGATTTTCTTTCAGCTAACTCTTACTTTAAAATAAAAAGTCGAGTCACAGTTACTGAGGCGTTTAAGGATCCCGTAACATATTGTCCTAAAGTTTTGCCACTACATCTTACCTTATTTCAGAGTTGACAGGATGGCATCATAAGGAACCAAGCAGACTCGTCTATCTGCCTGCTCTGACCTAAATAACTAATTCATTGCATTCTATTTCTGATTAAAGAATAGCAATTATGTACAATTGTTCTGAATTAAAATATTCCGCAATATTCCACATTTTAATGCCAATGGCTTATGTCTGCTAGACACAGAGTCCTCATTACTCCAAATGGAACATGCAGTTATTAGCTGAAATTGGAGCTAATTCTGGTGTTTTCTCATTTAATTTACCGATTAAAATGAAATAACTATTTTTCATAACTAAAATAGCCCAGCTCATGGTTGAATCTTTGCTTAACTTTTTACCTAATATATCTAACATTAACCCATAAACCAGCGTTAATCGGAATATTAATTAATTATAATTATTTAAAGTAATCCTAAACAAGCATCTTCGTAATGAATTTTCAACAGACTATAGACATTTACTTGTAAGTAGGCTTTCGAGAATACAAGTAACTCAACGAATGGGAGCATGAGGCCTCCCCATATCATAGTGGGAAAATTCAACCACCAGTCCTTCT